AAGTTTGAATCCCAGCTCTTCCATTTATTAGCTAGGTGGCATTAGGTGAGTTACTCAGCCTCTTTGTGCCTCAGTTCCTTCATCTGTAAAATAGAAATCATAGTATTATCCATCTCATTTGATTACTTTTAAGGATTACAGGAAATATGGTATGTAAAACATTGTAGCCCATTGCTCTGCATCTATTAAACACTAAGTAATTGTTATTTCTACTTCTCAAACAGTATATTCTATTTTCTCTTGGTGTGTCAGATCCTCCCTTCCTTCATTCAACAAACTGTATTGAGTGTCTTCTCTACCATGTGCCGATGTCAAAAAGAATCCTTAAAGTAACTGCATGATTAATATCACTTCTTAGTGCCTGGCTCATTCGAGGCATCATCTATTGGTCATATCAATACAGCATTAGTCCATAATCAATTGCATACGTTACTTCATTCAATCCTTATCACAACGTTATTAGGGAACTCTCATTTCCCACATTTTTTAGACAAGAAAACTAAGACTCAGAGGGAATAATTAACTGAGGGGTTTGGGGAAGGGTGGATTGAAGCAGGTTGTGCTTAGACACCTGAGGGGGAAGCAGAGAAGTCTAGGAGCCTGTCTTGGCTATGTGGTGTGTAAGAAGAGAAAGGAAGAAGGTTACCCCTTTGGATGCCAGGAGGTGGTATTTTCTTGACACTATTTCAGCTGTTTAAGGAAAAGAACAAGATGCTTTTCCAAGCTGATTCCCCAGGGAAATGGAAAGTTCTTGAGGGTCAGTGGACCAAGGTCAAGAAGTCTTGGGAGCCGATTTTAGTCTCTGAAGAGTGTGACACGGTTCCTGACTGCCAATTCCCTTCTGAGAAGAGGGTGGGCAATTCTGAGGGACAAAGAAGTTTAGAAGCCACCAGAGAGAGTTCCGTTCTGCCTCCTCAATCAACCAGCGAACTGATCAGTAATTAACGAAGCCCAGAGAGACTGACTCTCCATGCTGCCAAAATATGAGCAGAAAAGTAAAAAAATCTCAGTTGTCTACATGGGACCACTCGATACATAAATTAAGACCCATACTACGTGCCCACTATGTACCTTGCATCTTCTTGACCCCATTTCATTAGATCTCTCAATAACCCTACAAGGCAGGAATTATTATCATCCCCACAGCACAGTATATTTATTTGTGCATGAAACATGTTTGCAGTAATTATGTGGGTCAAGTATATGCTAAATGCTGAAGATGCTTAAGGTACAATGGTGAATAAGACGGCCAGAGCTTTGGGGCTCAGGAAGGTGAAGTCACTTGCCAAGGTCACGCAGTTAAGTAAACAGTGGAACTGGAATGTGCCCCTGCAGAATTTGAGCTCTCACCCACCACACTGCAGAAGTGGTCTACCTGGGCTCCCTGTTTTGTTTTGTTTTGTTTTTTTTTTCCATTGGTGTTTCCACATGTAGACACCAGCAGAGTCTTTGGAGGCTAAATGACAAACCTGAGACTGTGGAGGTGCTTTTGTCAGGATACGATCTCTATTCAGCTTTTCTGGTCCTGGTGGAGGTGTTTCTGGCTCTTGGTTTTGCAATTGCAAAAAGACCACAGGGTTTTCATCATTTACAGTTGTTTCGAAAGATGTCCCTGTACACACTGGATTTTAAAAATGTCTTTTGAGTTTATGCTATTGCAAGTGAATGTTCAGTGGACAAACAACCTCAGTATTGGATGAAGTCAAACATCCTCTGGTCCTCCATGGGCAGGATTACAAGCAGAAGCCCTTCGTGACCAGGCATAGCTCAGTCTTTCATCCATGGTCTTCTTTCTCTGGTGAATCACTTGAACTGTGCATAAATCACCAGGATCTTGTTACAATGCAGATTCTGATTCAGTTGGTCTGGGATGGGCCCTGCTAACAAGCTCTCTGGCGATACCGATGCTGGGGTTCATGCACCACGCTTTGCATAGCAAAGATTTAGGCTCACATCTTCCTACTGGTTTCTGCAGAACCGTAGTGTTCAGCAAGATGCTCGTTTTACCACGTCAAATAAGTTTGGGAAATGTTAAATCAAACAAAGTTAAATGAGCTTTTTCGCTGCAGGACTTCTCAGAACCTTTAGTATATTAATATGCATGTTTCCCTCCAGGGCTGAGATTTGCAAATGCAGTTTCCCAACCTTATTTTACCAGGAAATCCTCATCTTCTAATGCCTTCCCAAGAGTACCTACTTATTAATGTTCTTTGTAATACAGTTGAGACACCACGGCTGTTGGCTTCCTCATTCTGGAAGCTTTGTGCTCTCTATGTCAATGTATTTTCTCCATTGCTTCCTCTTCCTCCAGCCTCTGCATGCGTTTCCGTTCCTCGCCTCGAGATAATTCATTAAAGTAACTCTCCCTGCCTCCTTCTTTTGATACACCTTTCCACCTCCTAACATCCTGACTTAAAAACACCATCAATATTTCATAAACTCACAGTGACAAATTTATTTTAATGTGGTCCACTGAGAGCTGGAGATTGATTGGCCCCTCAGAAGCGTGACACGTTTCAAAGCAGGATATTCATGGCGTGTTTTAGTGCCTACATTAGTCAGAGAGGAGTGGGGCCCGGATTTATCATCGTTATGACTTTCTCGGTATCTATTCTCTTCTAGCCACTGGCAGCAACTCTCTGAATGCCCTCTATTGATTGGTTTTGTGTCTTTAAAATGTGCTGGGAAGGGAGGAGGGGAGGAGGTGGGGGGCTTGCATCGCTGTCAAATTGAGCCTCGCTTGCTGAAGTTTCTGCATATTGGTGGCCTGTGTTTGGGTGAAGCTGCCTGGAATTCTTTTGGTTTTCACTCATGAGGGCGTTGGAGGGAGAGGGCTGACCTCCTCGATTCCCAAAAATATTAGAGATTGGAAAATGGGGCAGCGAGGCCTGAGGGCTATTCTGCCAGCCATCACGTTGTAAGCCTGCCCCTTTGGCAGGAGAGGTCATAAAAGATTATTCGAGGTCGCGATGTTGACCCCCAGGGTCCTGATGCTTAAAGAGCTTGTGAGTTTTTTTCTCTATTGTTTAGGACAGGTGAAGTGCTGATTCAAAAGTGTCTTCAAAGTTAGGAAACTCCTTCCTCCATAGATTAAATAATAATGATTATAATGTTATGATGACAGGCAACATTTATTGAACACTTACAAAGTGCCAAGTATAATGGGATATGCATTACAGACAAGGTCTCTTGTCAGAACACCCCTGAGAGGAAGGTATTATTATTACTATTATTGTTATTATCACTGTTTTTATTACTCCCCTTTTATAGATAGGAAAACTGAGGCATCTTAGAGAGGTTAAGCAGCTGGCTCAAATTCACACAGCTGGTAAGTGGGGAAGTAAAAATAAAGCCCAGGACCACCTGACTTCAGACCCTGCTCTTAGCCACTAGGCTGGACGGGCTTTTCTAAATGTAGCAGCCAGGGAACTTACTGTTATCTAATTGATGTGCTATATCCAGCACATTCTCGCTTATTTATTAATGCAGAAGAGAAGGCCTCTCTTCAACAATACTCTTGGGTAATTTGATTTTGCCCATGACTTTCAGAGTAAATAAGCTATCGTTCTTTTAAATTACCCCTGTTTCCCATTAATTCAGATCTCCCCAAATTAATGCGAATTAATAAACCCCATCATATTGCCACATCACTAAAAATTGCATTAAATTGTACATGGCATGCTTGACTCCAAGACATATTTCCTCAGTGCCCACTTGCGCGCAGGCCCTACGGAGAAGGAGTTAATGTTCTAGCAATAGAGACAGGTATGTACGTAGCTGGCCATGCACAAAGGCAGCTTGCGATTGGAGAGCTGAGGAGAGGACAGTTAACTCTCACGGAGGGGACTTTTTCTGAGAACTTTTTCTGATGACATATCAATTGTGCTAGGCCTGGAAAGATGAAAGAAGATTTCAAAAAGCAGAGACGGGTCTGAGGACACTCTATTTAGGGGAACGGAATGGAAACCTATTGTGTATGTCAGAGGAAATAGCTTGAATGACTGGAAAATTAGAGAGAAACCCTCTGGGTTCAATCCTTCCTTCTCATACGGGGAAACGTGTGGATTAGGATGCATTAAGCAAAAACGGTTGCAAAACCGATCCTAGTTCCACTTGACTTCCATTAGAAAGTCAAAGATATTTGTCTGTGGGAGGGAGAAAAAAATCCTCCCACAGATTGAATTGAAACTATTTACAAGGAAGGAGTTGAGGCAGCCAGTAGTTAATCCTGGCAACTGTAGACAGCAGGCATCTCTGCTTAGTGGGCCGGGTGGGTCCCTACTCACAGTCACCTTCCCACAGAATCATTTTATAGGGATTTGCCAGCTCTAGGATTTTCCCTGAAGCAAAAGTTTCCGCCTCACTGCCATGGAAGGTAGAGTTTCTCTCATATTCAGGGACTTTTTAAACTTCTTATATGCAAGGTCCAAAGGTTGGCTTCACCACTAGCCAGGATATAATGGAAGAATGTTGCTCTGAAAGCCAGCTCACTGGGACTCCCAATTCCCGAGAATGTTTTCCATCCCCCCTTTTTTGGAGAAAAGAATGAAGGTCAGGGATACCTGCTCCTGTTTGGAATTTACTATAACAGTTGAAAAATCATAGCCATTTCCAGGGAAGTATCTCTACTTGGTGGTCTATACACAACCTGTGTTATAACCACCTAGGGTATTTATAGAAATAGATTCCCAGACCCCGCCTACGAACAATGACATTCAAATCTCTGGAGGTGAAGCCTAGAAATCTATATTAAAAAACAACAACAACGAAACTACTCAGAGATTCTAACGTGCGGAAATGTCATGCATGGTTGGGTGAGTTTGGGCTGTATAGCACTGAGGGGGCCATTCACATCATAGTATATGGGCTGCCTATGCTCCCCAGATTTGTGCAGTGTAAAATCTGCACAGCAGGCCATGCCAGCTATACACTGCAGTCACTGTGGCTGGGACTGGCATGTATCAAGTCCAAACTAACTCGTTCTGCCTCTCCATCTACAGGGCAGGTCAGAGATCCCTGGGGCCCGGAGTAGAGCTGCCAGTCAGGCCTTGCACAAGCCTCTTTCTTCAAAGAAAGACCCAATTCGAGTCATCTGTCAACAAATGGTCATGTAGATTTAGGCATTTTGGTAAGAGTCTTGATTACTACCTATAACCTTGATCTATTATTGTGTAAATGAAATGTGTTAATGCTCATCAAATACTGTTGCCCAGGGCCAGGCATGTATTAGATATTTAATAAATGTTAGTTCCATCCTCTTTTTCCTTGCCTAGCAATTCTGTTGATTGGATTTTATTGTATATACCCTGAATCCCAGGCTTGCCGCCAATGTCACACTCCATAGTCACAGCTGGACTCTGGACCATAATCCTCCAAGACTTTAGTTTTTAGAAAATAAATGAGTTTTGTAACTACCAATTTGTGCTTAATCCCTTCCTCCTTTTCAGCCACCTGAAACTAATATATCATATGGCAACAGTAATTAAAAAATAATAAAATGATTAAAATAAAAAAAGGAAAAATTGAGTTTTGATTTGCATATTTTGATTGCGCAAAATCTGAAGTTTATTTTACTAAAGCATTAGACACCCAGAGAGCTCTGAGAACAAAATTCCAAATTATCATTAAAGTCGGAATTCTCCCAGCAGTGACTGCTGGCCTCCAGGCCACGGGGAACTTTGGGGTGTTTTGTAACTTCAGATGCTCCTAATTTTCTTTGTGCAACTCTCTGTGTTTTGAGATCTCTGGCATCCAGACCCTGAGTCACTGCTGGACTCGGAGCTTAGACTGAGCAGCGCATGGAGGATTTGCGTCCTACTGTCTCTGAAACTGCTAATAAGTCTGAGACTCCTTAATGCCAAGATTGCAAGCGCTGCTAAATTATCTCCCAAAGAAGTTGACAAAACTCAATCAAAAGCATATGCGATGTGGAAGAGAGTCTGCAGGGCCAGAAGACCTCTGCTGGAGTCATGGCTTATCACTTACTGGTTGTGTGAGCTTGGATGAGTTACTTGAACTCTCTGAGCCTTGTTTTTGTCATCTGTTAAATGGGGTTAAGCACTTTCATCTCATGGGCTGATGGATGACATGCGATGTACTAACATATATGGAATGACTAGCATAATGACTAGCATGTCTCTTCATTTATTAAAGAATTTGAGGGACTAAATAGGTCAAACCCATGTTAAAAATGGGGAATATAATGGTGAGCAGGGCCCACAGGGCTGCTATTCTCACAGATCTTAGAGGTCAATGGGGGAGACTGAAAATAAGAAGTCAACTCATATAGTCTCAAGAAGTAATATGTGCCAAGGGGGAAGTTGGGGCTACTTTAGATCAGATTATCAGGACAGCTTCTGAGATCAAGTAGCATTTGATCTGAGACCCGAATGATGAGAATATGTGAAGAAGACAGACAGGTACAAAGCAGAAAATGAGCATTCAGATGGCAGGAACAGCGTGTGCAAAGGCCCCAGGGCAAAGACCAGAATGATGGGGGGACATGAAAGGATGCTGGTATGGCTGGAATAGAAAAAGGGAGAAGAAGAGTGACAACATGAAGCAAGTAGATCAGGTTACGGGTTTACATTCTGTTTTTAGTGCAATTTAAAGTAGGCACAGATTTAAGGCTACTCTTTCGTTTGCCATCTGTGAACTCAGCTGCTAAATTCATATCTTGTATTAAGAATGTTTTTAGTTGCAAGTAGCAGGGAATATAACTAACCTGTCTTAAATAAGCAAGGGGTATAATTTTCTCATATAATCTCTTCAAAGGTATCTCAACAATCTCTTCAGCATCTCAACAATGTCATGTCTCTGGGCTGGCCTCCCTATGACTCTCCTGGCATTCTCCTCATGGTCACAAAATAGCTGCCATAGCTCTAAGCATTACATCCTCACACCACATATGGAGGCAGGAAACAGGAAGCAGTATCAGAACAATTTCTTATCAAGTGCCTCCTCCTCATAAGGTCAGAGAAAACTTTCCCAAGCAGATTCCTCTCTGTCACACTGATTATCATGCACATCAGAGTGGTATTCTGGGGTCGAATGATCTCCACCTGATACTTGAACAGAGTTAGGGTTTTATTGGCAGGGAGGAGTGTGGGGTACATAACCACAGCGATTACCACATTCCCCATAGTCCCACCTACCTCTCTGGGTGAAGGCCACGGAATTTTAATTTTGACCCCAACTAGGGCTAACAGCTCTCAGAGGGTTTTCAGTGTTCTTGGAAGCTTCTTTCAGATTTTTTCATTTTTCTCTTATGCCATCACAGGCCACTCGTCCCCTGCTGCTCTTTAGCAAGTCAAAGGCTCAGGATTTAATTAAAAACAAAACTTGACATAAGTGTTTTTAATTGTAATAGAAAAATGTTGCCTGTTTTATAAAGGTGACAGTTTGCAAACACAAGTGTGAACGTCTTCCTACCTCACTTGTTGGCGGCCCCATCACAGAGTGGCAGGGTGGTGCAAGCAGACAGATCTGGTGTGAATGACTTGTTCCAGCAGGGAAGGATGCAACCTGAATTTCTCCTGAGGAACACCAGCCGACATCTGTCATCAGGTACACTTAGCTAATGGGATCCAAAGGGCAGCCTCCAGTGCCACCATTCTACCTAACGTTGAGGCTTGCCTGGGAGAGAGATGTAGCACCCTCTCATCTTTGAGAACTGGGACATCCACGACACACTGCGGAGGCAAGACTATCTTTTCCCCAAGTCTGTGTCTAGTGGTGAAGCAAACTGTTCATTCGGTTGTCAGGATATTTCCCAACATCTGTGTATTTAAAAGCCAATCATGTGGCTGGGTGGCTGCCTTTGCATTATTCTCCTGGATGTTGGATCAGTGCAGATTCAGCCTTGGTGTACTCATGGGAAGCCAGAGGGAAGACTGTGTCTCTTGTTTTGAAGACAGTATCTAGAGTGTAGAGATTTAGTAAATATTCAGCTGCAGGGAACAGAAGCTGACTCAAACCAGTCCAGATAGAGGATTTCCTAGAGACATCCAAGGACTCTGGGCAGAATCATTTGCAGGAACTAAAGATGGGCCTCTCCTACATCTGCTCCCATTCTTCTTTCGGAGACTTGCTTTGCTTGCATGGAGACCTGTTTCCCTTACAAGGCTCCCAATTTCTGTTACCCCATGGAGTTTTTGTTCTCAGTTCTCGGTTCTGATTTTAACCTCAACTTTACCTGACCTCGCCGTTTAACTTCTCATTCACTTATCAGTTCAAGGATTCACTAATTTATCAAAGAACCACACAGAAGTATGTAATAATTACAAATGGAGATAGCACCTAGAAAGAAAGAATGATGTATGATGTTTTACAGCCTGCTGCGTTGCTCTCTGTGATGTGGGTCCCATAATCCCAGATGGAGAATATGATTGGTCCAACCTGGAAAACCTGGTCCAATCAGCGATGGCCAAAGGGAGATGAGTTCGCACACCACCAGGCCTGTGGATGGAGCATGTTATCTAAGCATGGGAAATGATCTGGTAGAAATACTCGACCTCTCACTTACAGAAAGACTTTCAGGTTGGCGTCCAAGTTATCTTTGATGGATCTCACCCACATTAGGCTTTGTTCTCAGAAAAGCTGCACAGCTTACAAGACTGAACAGGCTCTGAGGTCTGCATCCTAGATGCTGAGCACGATTCTGACCACTGCCATGTTCAACCTGACTCACCTGGGCAGAGAATTCTGGGTCTCGGTGCCAGGTATGGGAACATGTCCAGCTGCAGATGGATCTCTGCTGATGGGTGGCTGTACTGAAAAGGACATAGAGTCTCTGTTTTTACAACGGCCCCTTTTCAATGAAATGAGATGAGTGGCAAAGGTATCTCAGGGCCAATGGCAGCAATAGGCACTGAATGTGACAATAGCTGTCCAAGTTTCCCAACGTTTGAGGTCAAAGCTTTGAATATAAACTCAGCAGTGTGATAAGAGCAGAACACAGAAAGGAGCTTATTATCTGCTCATTTACCCAGCATTGATGGAAGATGGTCCACCACTGACTCAGTGCCAGACGTACAGAATCGTAGAGAAGTCCATGACGATGGTCTTGCCCACAGCCCACAGGGTCCCCCTTCTTGAAGAGTTGAGTAGCATTTCACATATTTAGGTGCACAGAAGTGAGTGAAAACAAGTTATCCTGGTGAACCAGAGCTAGCTGGCTCAAGCCAGGACTCGTAGCAACGTTGTATAGACCAGGTGCAGAGCAAACACTCAGGGTTCCAAGGGCTGAGGGCCGTGGGAGGCCTGGCCAGAGGGTTCCATCTCAAGCAGTCTGGGCCTGACTCCTCGTTTTACTCCATCCACTTCCTCCTCTGTAGCTGAGAAGAGGCGGGTTTCCTTGGTCTTTGTAACTCCCCTGATGTGCTACTAGCTAACAGGCTGGGCTGTATTTCAGAAGAGTTGCTACAAGGGAAACCTAGCTTATAAGTCAAGCACTTTAGTTCTCCAGGCGTGAAAAACAACACTCTTTATCTCTGACCATGTCTGGCTTTGTGAGCTGTGTCTAACGGCCACAGGAGGAAATACACCATGGCACTGTCAGAGTGGCGTCCCATTCCTGTTAGCTGGAGGCACCCCGTCCTAATGTGGGCTGAAGGCTGGAGTCAGCCTTGGCCTGCGATATGTTTGCTTTGAAACAAATGTCTTTTTAAAAAAATCATTCGATATTACACAAAGCAAAACAAAACACACATAAAAAAAATGAAAACAAAAATCCTTACTGGATTTTGGGAGCACTAAATCAAATACTGCATGGGAAGAATTTAGCACAGTGCTCAGTCCACAGTAAAGGTTCAACAAATATTAGTTGTTATTCTTATAGTTAATGTCTTTGCTATACGTAGTGAAGTCATTAACTATATGACTTAATAGTTATATAGTTAACTATATATATGTATATATAACTATATATAGTTATATAAATAACTATAACATATATATGTATATTTCAGGCACAGTGCCACTGATCTTCCTAGCCTTTGTAAGTCTAAATCTATATAGCTGGCATCTGTCCTGGTCTGTTTTACTTTGTCATCTCACATAGTCTCCCAAGAATCCTTTGGGACTGGACACAGACACACCCGTGCCCTCTCCCCTGCCTGTATTTGTGGCATGCTCCCCCAGGAAGGTATCCTGAATCTATGTGTCTATGGAGCAGGTTCGAATATCATTAAAGGAAACCTTGGCCCGGCTTTGTCTCATTTATGCTTTTAGCCTCAGCTTAAGAGTCAACCAGCTTAAGAGGAAGCTTTCCGGAGAAGCATCCTCCTTTCTGCTTCAGTCTATTTTCTAAAAAATCCCCTGTATATGGAATATTGTATTTGACAAAGAAGGCAGCAACTATATTTCCCATCCCACATGCTCCTTTGCAATGTGACTTTGCTATTCTTCCCAGCCAGAGATGGGGTTTATGTCCTCTCTTCTTGAACCTGGATGGACCTTTTGATGGCCATGGCCACTAGAATAGCGTAGAGGTGACACAGTGTGTCTTCTGAGGCTGAATCAGAGAGTTCCATGCAGCTTTTACCTTCCTTTCTTGGGGCTCTTGTTCTTAGAACCCAGCCACCATGTTGGGAAAGAGCCCAAATTAGCTCATGGTGAGAGGCCACATGGAGAAGTCACATGTACAATTCCAACTGACAGTCCAGCTGGGGTCCAAATGGACAGTCAGCATCAGCCGCCAATCATGTGAAGAAAATACTTCCAAATGAGAGGTTAGCAAAGCTTTTCTGTAGAAGGTCAGACAATAAACATTTTTGGCTTTGTAGGCCATACAGTTTCTGTTGTAACTATTCAACTTTGCTGTTGTCATTCAAAAATGGCTGTAGACAACACCTAAATGAATGGCATGGCCGGATTTAGTTCATGAACTGAAGTTGGCCAAATTGTGCTCTAGATGTTTCTTCCTGCAGCCATTCAGTCACTCTCATTCTTCTAGCCATTCCAGTTGAGCTCCTGCATGAATTCCTGACCCATATCATCCACAAGTATAATCAAATGGTTGCTTTCTGTCAAGACATTTGGGTTGCTTTGTACATAGCAATAGTACCTGGACCAGTGCATAGCTATATGATTTTATGATTGCCTGTTACTGTGTCTGTGTCTCCTTCTAGCTTCTGAGCCCCTGAAAGTAGGTACTGGATCTTCTTCCTCTTCTTCCTTCTCCTCTTCTTCAGCAGATCTAGTACTGAGTGCCAGGTGTTATGTCAAATGTTCTATGTAAGTTGTTGCCTTTGGCCTTCCCAACAGTTACTGCATCTCTATTCTACAGATAAACAAAATGAATCTCTACGAGATTAGTAAATTGCCCAAGGTCACTTGGAACCATGGTCTCCTTGATTCCAGGGCCTGGAATCTTAACCATGATGCCATTTAGCCTTGACATTCTTCATATGAAATAGAAGCGAAGGAGCTTCAGGAGCATACATTGGATTGCAAGAAACTTGAATCCAGAGGACATGCTTGTCCAGTCTCTACTTCACTCCCAGTGACTTGCAGAGTTCCTGGAGCACAGTGGTTGCACAGTAATTTTCGGTTGGGTGAATAAATGAATGAGTGACTAGCACACATTAGGTTCCTCCTTTGGTTGATGTCAGACCAGCTGGGCTAATGTTGGAGGATGTCCCCTGGTAGACCATTTACTCTAGTGAATGAGTGTTCTGTAGATATGGTTGGTGTCCTGTGCATATCCCTTTGGTCTATTCCAGTTTCTTGTTTCTCTCTGCTGGAGGATGTATCTTGCTTGAGAGAGTGGTTTGGCTTGCAAATGGGGCTGGTCAGAGGTGTCAAGGAGTTAATGTCCCTGGAACAGGCCTCAGCCAATGAGAAATGGGAGTTGGTAGAAAAATATCCCAGATTTTTCCCCCTCAGTAGGACAACTCTGAACAGTGCTCACAGCAGTCTCTCAAAGGAGTCCCTGTGGAACTGAGCCCCATTCGTATTATTTATCAACACAACCTTTATTGGCTTCCACCCTTTTCTGTCTCACTTTCCCAATTCTCACAGTATTTTTTGAAATCTCCTTCCAAATAAATATCTTGCACTCAGGTCTTAGTGTTAAGGTTTGCTTAAAAGCAAACCTAAAATGCTTTCTTAAAGGGACTGGGAAATTAGGACAAGTGTGTATTGTCAATGGTATAAAAAGTAGTACACATTCTAAGACACACATTCATAGGACAGATTTGCATCAAAAAGTTTGACTTAGTGTGGAAACATAATTATTGATGATATTTTCATGGATGTAGGTTTCTTACCTTTGAGTATATATAGTAACCGGAATTAGGTTAACCAAGATTTGCGTACTATCTTAATCAATAAATAAGAACGATTTGTAATCAGCATATCAATTGCATTTAAGTAATCGGTGCTTATGAAATACTCGAGAGAGATTCAGAATGGTGCTATCTGGGGTGGTTTTAATTATCTCCCTCCAAACTTGCTGTCACTATAACTTTCTATCCAACCTCTTCCTCACGAATCAGAGACAAACTGGAGTCCAGCCTCAGCCTGGCTCTGTCAATCCCATGCTGGCTGAGGGGTAGGAGGGACACGACTCAGGTTATGTGGGGTTAGTTGCAGCTTCTGGTCTAGCCTGTGGGGAATCCCAGGTATTCTGTTGGCAAATTATTTTTGGAGAATATTTGTAGCCTAGATTGGTCTAGGTGTATTCTTTCAGAGAATATTTGTGTATGATTCTGCCACATCCCCAGGGACACAACCAATTTCAGGTCAGTATGCGTTAAAATTATGGCTTATAAGTTTTTTCTTTTTCTTTTTCTTTTTTCTTTTTGGACCACTGGGAGATTTCCTTGGAGCTGCAAATTCACTGGCTGGCTCATAGTGCAACTTTTCTAAGACTCTTAACCACCCCATGCTCTACTCATATTGAGCAACTTTTTGTTCTGGTCTTCTGAGGTGGTGGAGAGTTGGCACAGGAGACAGCATACTTTTGTTTTACCATTTCATGGACAGTGTAGACCATTTGGGCCCCCACATAATGGAGGAAGGTCTTCTAACAGACTCATAACCTACTTTGAGTAAGCTTTGGGCTTTGTCTTTGGTCCCCCACATTCCATGAGGCTGTGCAAATGGAAGCTCAAATTGTCCAGGTTTGGCAAATACCTTCAGGGTAAAAGTTTCTTGAGTATTCCACAACTCTCTGGGGTCCAACTTTCCTTTAGATTTTGTCATGATAATTCCTTTCACGGTTTTTAGGAAGATTTACAAAATATATTTGATCCAGTTATTGTTAGCAGGGAAACTAATTCTAATACTTAATCTGCCATATTACAGGAGATGAGTTTCTGCCCCAAGGGTTTTCTATATAGCCTCTCATGGCTCAGCACTGGTCAGGAACCATAATTTGGAGAGAATTCTTGCATGTAAGGGTTATAGGATCTCTAAAATCTATTTCACCCATCACAGCTTTGGACAAGAGTCCGCTGGTGACCCCATTTACATGAAACTAGGGAGAGATCAGCCAATCAGGGAGTCACTTATCCTTGTCCTGTGGATCAACAGGGATTGACTGTGGATCAACAGGAAGTTTGACTGTCTCATAACAGAGGGCTGAAGTCCTGATTTGGTGAAAATATTCTGCTGTGGATCCCTAAACATGGCTACTGGGGAGCCCACCTTTCCCTTTCTGGGAACAAAGGAGTTTCCAATTCTTTCTTTGACTTCAGACAGGGTTGATACGGAAAGTTTTACTTTATCACCTAGGAGATGACTGGGACTTTTAAAACTAATATTTAGGAAGATTCTCATAGACAACTTAGCCACACCAAATTCATTCAACCATCCATCCATTTATTTAATCATTCATTCATTCACTTATCAAACAAAAGGGGCCATAATGGAAACCCATTCTGGGATAAACTCAGAGAAGAGAGTGAAAGGGAACAGTTCACATATATTAATAAGGTTGCTCTGAAGGATTCAAGGTATCAGTATATCCCTTCATAAATTTCTCCCAGGGCTGAGTGTTGAATCTACATCCTGCCATTATCATGAGCAGATTATTGATAAAATATAGTTTGTATAAAATTGAGAGAGACTAGATTGTGTGAGAAGAGTAGAGAGATGTTTAAACAAGATAGTTCTGGCCACTGCTGATTTTATAGGATTCCAATGAGAAAAGACACTTTGCTCTCTTCCTACGTTTTACTGTGTATTCCACTGGAGAAAGGTAGGTATTCGAATAATATCTTTCAGGAGTGAGGCCCTGTATGAGAGTAGGCTACTCTGTGCTGCAGTGACAAGTAAAACTCCTGATCTCAATGGTGGAAAGTAATAAAAGTTTATGTCTCATGTACACAAAGTCCAGTGATGAAGTTGCTTGTCTGTGTCTTTCCTGGGCAGCTTTTCTCCAAGTATGACTAAGGGACTCAGCATCTTGCTATTTTGGGATGCTCCCATCCTCACCATTCTCATCTTGAACTAATTGGCATTTATTTATAGAACACTCCACCCCAAAACAGCAGAAATCACATTCTTTTCAAGTGCACATGGAACATTTACCAAGATAGACCATATTCTGGGCCATCAAACTAATTTAAAGTCTCAGTAAATTTAAAAGGATCCAAGCCATTCATAATATCTTTTCTTTTCGTAGTGGGATTAAATTGGAATTAAATCAGAAATCCTTAGCAGAAAAATCTTTGCAAAATCCCCCATATTTGGAAACAAAATACCACACTTCTAAGTAAATCATGGGTCAAAGGAGAAAGTAAGAAAATGTTTTTAACAAAGTGAAAATTAAAGCACAACGTATGCAACATTGTACTGGGATTCTAGCAAGTGCAAT